AACGGCGCCTCCCGGCCCGTGAGGCGGCGGCGAGCGGCCAACATGGCGGCGGTGCCGCTCTCGCCAGGTGCGGGCCTAGATCGGTGGGCGGCACCGCGGGGAGATCCACGGGGAGATGGACCCGTCTGGCGGAAGGGGCTCTCTCCGCTTCTGGATGGAGCTCCTCTCGTCGCGTTGCTCCTTTGAGGAGCCGCGGATGCGGTGCGGGCGCGGGAGTGGCTCCGCGGCTCACTCACTGCGGGCCGTCTGCTTTTCATGTCCCTGCAGCTACGGGAGTACAAGGTGGTGGGGCGCTGCCTGCCCACGCCGAAATGCACGACCCCGCCTCTGTACCGTATGCGCATCTTCGCTCCGAACCATGTCGTCGCCAAGTCCCGATTCTGGTACTTCGTTTCTCAGCTGAAGAAGATGAAGAAGTCTTCTGGAGAGATTGTGTACTGTGGCCAGGTGAAGGATTAAAAACCTGAAAACGTGGGAATTTCTTATGGAATTCTAGCAGGTGTATGTGGAAGGATTTTACAGGAATCGCAGTTACGGGTGTGAGGTTGAAATCCATTCGTCTTTAAGTTGATATGAAAAGGAGTGACAAGTTTAGTTTTTGAAGTAGTGGTATATGCCCTGTAAAGTGAATAGAAATAGATTCAAAATTATGAGCTATGTGTGGCTCTCTCATTCTTAGACTTGGTGCATAGTGCAATATGCCTTTTAAGACTCATTTAGACATTCATAACCCTGGGAAAGTGGGTGTTTGTATGCTTACACTCTTCTACCTTGGTACTTCAAAAACTCTCTCTTGAGCTTAAATCTTGTATTTTCCTTTGTCCTCTAAAATACCAAGACATAAATCTAGCTATGTTGGTAAGGGGAAAGAGAGCAAAGACTTTTTTTTTGATGGTAAGACTTAAAACATTAGTTTTGTTAGAGCAGTGAAATATTTATTCTTAAAATTGTAAGATGGTGGTAGTACATCATGTCTAACCACTTCCATGTTCTTGTGTAATTCCAGGTGTATGAGAAGTCCCCTCTGCGGGTAAAAAATTTTGGTATTTGGTTGCGCTATGATTCTCGTAGTGGAACCCACAACATGTACAGGGAGTACAGAGATTTGACCACTGCGGGTGCTGTCACTCAGTGCTGTAAGTATATGTAACCATTTGAGGTGTAAAATAGTAGGATCACTATACAAGCAGAATATTAATTCTCAAACTGGGCATAAAGCATGCTGACTTAATCCATGGTAAAATAACTGAAATATTGGAAAATTAAAGGAGGGGGTTGCCAGATATTCTGTAGATGTTTCTCTATTATGCATGTGGTATCTGACTTGTTACCTCTCTTTATACAGTTTCTCTGACTGGAAAATAGTTCCACTTCTTTTTGATGTGTCTTTCTACAATTCTAGTAATGAGTTTTGATATACAAACTGAGAATTTCATGACTTTCCAGGTGCTGTATGCATTTCCTGCACTGTGCTCTTGTAAGATAATTGAATAGATCTTTCCAAGTCTTGTAAAGAGAATATTTCAGAGATCATACAGAATATACTGGCATCTGTCCTTTATTGAGCAAGTAAATCAAAAAAAATCACAGGATTTTTGTATTGTTATTCCAGGATCTCATCACCTCATTTCAGGGAGAATTAATGGTTGTTCTGATTTCAGTCTGTTTTGTGAAGTACTTGAGCTGTTGATACTTGTCTCCAAAGTGCTATAAGCACTACAGATTGCACATAAAAACCCAAAGAATATTGTTCTTAATAATGATATTCTTGTCATGTGTGCAAATATTAAAGGTATCTTGTCGCCTTTCAAAAGCTGAAGTGCTGTTGAAAGTGAAATTGAAGGTTCTACATTAATGTACAATAATCCCTGTTAATGAACATACTGAAGGATTGCTTAAGAGACCCGGGAACCTTATTTTTCATGATACAATGACTGGTACTTTTATGTTCAAGAATAGGTGTGTCAGGTAAGTTTTTAATAGGTGTGTTATATCTTCATGGGAAACACAGTAGTATTTCAACAGGCATGCCTCATGTAACTAGCTGTGGATGTGATTTGAAGCCAGTGATTGGCAATGCTGAATAGAGGCTTTTTCAGGTAGCCTAAGTACAGGTGCTTCCTTCTGTCCAGAAAGCCTGACTGTGTGGGATGAACATCAATTTGTGGTTCTATTGCTGATCAGTTTCAATAAAAAGTAATCCTCAGGTCCTACTTTTACTTGCACCTTTCTTTTGGAAGGGAAGATGTTTTGAAGGTGTCTTTCCAGTGATCATATTTCAGTGTTGATTCTAAATCACAGTTTGTTTTTTTCTCTTGCAAGAGAGTAAGTAGTCCGAGCTATATTACTTGTGTCCATCTGTACTTTTTGAAATTGGACAAGACTAAGATGGCTCTTCCTGTTGTGGAGCATACTTAGAACTTGCAGGAAGAATTTGCTGCTGCTTGTTGGTTTTGTGATTTGTGCCATCACTTTACATAATAGAAACAGCGATTTTAATTACAGCTGATCAGTAATTTTAAAAGTTGTAGATGGCACTATGAACATTTCTTGAAGAAAAGGGTATAAGATTCTTGAACTGAAAACGTCATTTATTTTTAATGAGTTCTGTTGTTCTAGACCGTGATATGGGAGCTCGTCATCGTGCCCGTGCTCACTCTATCCAGATCATGAAGGTTGAGGAAATTGCTGCCAGCAAGTGCCGCAGACCAGCAGTCAAGCAGTTCCATGTAAGTGAGCCAACCCTGCAGTGGCTGCTGGATGAGGGGATCTCTCCTGAATGGTACAGGTTTGCTTTGCAGCCAAAAAAAGGGCAGGAACCAAACTTGGGTGCATGTGTTCATGATTATGGTATATGATATTATCAAAATTTCTGCTGCTGCAGATATTTGGAAGAAAGTCACAAAACTAATACGTGTTACGGTGCAGAAAACATGCCTCTGACTAGCATGATTTTGAAAAATACAGAATGCAAAATTAAGTAATTTGTTAAGTCCTGTAAAGTATATATTAATTTGTGGATGGACTATTTTTCTAAACATAAGTTAGTCACTCAGTACAGCTTGGCTGTTTATTCCAAGCTATTTTGTGTTGTTCATCTGATAGCTCAATTAACATAGAAATATTTTTCTTGCAGGATTCTAAAATCAAGTTCCCGCTGCCGCACAGAGTTCTGCGTCGCCAGCACAAACCACGTTTCACCACCAAGAGACCAAATACTTTCTATTAAATACAAAAACATGTTGTCAACTCCGTGTTGCAATAAAGGTCTTATTGGAACCTTTCACTTCCAGTTGTCTTTTGGAGATTGTTCTGGTTTTCTAGGAGTCCTCCTTCCTACTCTTTAATTTTCTGTAAACCATTGGCAGCCTACTGTTCACAGCTGTGATTGCCTTAATAGGTGAGTGTTTCAGGTGCTGACTTAAATTACTGAAATATCACATCAATAAGTGGAATTTTAATAACCAACTTCCCAGGTCAGAGAAGTCTGTTGTCAAGCAGCTGTAAAATCCTACATCCGTTTTTGTCCCTTGGGCATATTAAGTGAACAGTTGAGTTCAGGAAGAAGGCAGCTTCTGGTGCATGCAGAACTCGGACTTGACAGTTGTAAAAATAAAGTCCTCGTAACTTCAGTTAAGCTGCTTCAAATGTTAAGCATTTGAAGTCAAAATTTTAGTTCTAACAGGAACGTTTTTGTGCATGTTACACACCACTCTGAATAAGCTCAAGGACTTGTACAGAGGTGCCTGTGTCTAGAAAAGTGATGAAGGGCTTGGCAGATGTATACTTTTATTAGGTCAAGGAATGAAAATAATGACAATTTTTATATCCAAGCCCAAATCCTTAGGCCACTTTGTTTACAGTAAGAAGCTTGCAGACACTGTGTAGTTGAGGTTTATTTAAAAGGCTGCTTCAAACCTAAAGGTGGTGCTTGCATCTGGTGCCCATTTTCAGTGATGTTTCCTGAAGAGGCAGTCAGCTACATAAATTAGTACATGGGTCACATGGTTAAGAGAGCTGATGCTGTGTTTTGTCCAGATGTCAGCTTAAAAACGGCTATAGGTGCAGTTAAGAGTGCAGTGAAATACTGTGCAGAGTGGAAACGGAATGTATCCTTTCTGGGTTAGCTGGAGAGCTGCCGGTCAGTCTGGGGAGGTGCTGTCTGTCGGTGCAAGGGCAGGTAGTGGTTCTGCAGAACTGGGACCAGTCAGTGTGGCCACAGCGAGCTCCCCTTACACGGCCTGGGCCCTTGGCTCAGTCATCGCCTGCACGGAGAATAGGTTCAGGCAGCTCTTCTGTCTGAAAAGTGAACTGAAGGAAATGGGATTAGTGTGGGCAATCCAGTCTCTCCCCTGTGGTAAGGGAGGGAGGAACTAAACCCAGACTACCTGGAGGGTCCTGTGGGAGTCAAAGAGGTGGGAATAAGGGCCTCAGACAGACCTTGATGTTTAGATGTTTTACACTGAGAGATCAATTTAGCAGGAAAGTGTGTCTGGCTTTACGCTGACACCATGAATCGCAGGCCGGCGGCGAGCGGCCGGCAGGGCCCCGCTCCCAGGAACGCGCGG